CCTGTATTACTAGGCACACAGAGGTAGAGACTCATCTTGCTTCTCACAGGAGGGTACTGTATTGCTTAGGATGCTTTAGGCTTCAATAAAGAGAAAACCTAATTCAAAATGGCTTAATAAAGGGATCTGTTGTGTCATCACAAAAAGTCAATCCTGAGAGCTGGTTAATTTGTGGCTTCTGAAGGACTTGAGTTATATCCTGCTCAGCCGGCCTTCTCACAGGGTCATAAGATGTTACATTGTGTCCCTGCATATCAGTGCTTGTCAGAAAAAGAAGAAACCTTGTTTCTCCTTGAGCCTCTTTAGGATTCCTGATGATGCTTCCCAAGATGTTCTCCAGAACTTGCTGTCCACAGTTCTTAATTTTTTTGTCCAAAGCAATTGTCAGCAAGGAGAAGGGAATCATCCTGATTAGGTTATAACAGAGAATTTACCTGAGCTGCTGTGGGAGGTGCAGACACTAGAAGGAAAGCCGAGCTTCCTGTAGGTAGCTTAGAGCCTCCTATAGGTCGCACAGTGTCTGTTCCAAGTAGCCTTAGCGAAATATCATTCAGCAGATTTTAAGTTTGCTGGTGATATATCTGTGGTGTGCTGACTCAGGACACGTGGGACCAAATAGCCAATTTCTGCAGTTTGGGCTCCTATCTACCAAATTATGAGATTTGGAGGTAAAGAAGGCATACGGACGGCATAATTGACTCTGTGCTTATGCCCTCCCATTTCTGGTTATTTTAATCAATCTATTATCTGATATTTATTTTGATCATCTGTCATGTTGTGACTTTCCAAAAGGACAACAGTGTAACAGTTATGGGGATTATGACAGAATAATGGGGGTGGGCAAATGCTTGGCTCAAAGAAAGAAAGACTTTCTTTTTGGCACAAGTTTCTAAGGATCTGGTGGCTTAGATTTTTTTCTCAGTGCTATGGCTGAAGCCTGAGTACTTGCATCCTTGGAAATCAAGTAGACAGTATTCATATTTATTTTGGGATCTAGAAACAGTGGGCTGAGCTCATGTAGAAATGCTTGTGGCTAAAAGCAAATGTAGGACTTGGCTCCAAAAAGGGTAGGACCCAATGGCTAAAAAGCATTCCATGGTATTCTTATAGATTCAGAATAAAAGTAGGTGGGCATTAAATACATGACCCTGGCACATATCTCACATATAACTCTACTATACTTTCTCCATCCCAAGCTTCAAAGATAAAATTCAAAATGAACTTGGAACTACATGAGAAATGCTAATGCTTTCTTTGCCACCAACACTATTCAAAGCCAAATAGCTGTGAGAATTTATAGTCACATTCACTGCAGTTTTTGTTTCTGATACAATTGCTATCTGATATGGATGCTCCTATGGCCTCTCAGCCTGCTGTGCCATTAGCCATGTACCCCATCTCTCAAACCTGTGTTCTTTCTAGTAGACATTAGACATCCCACTGCTGCCAGTATGGAATTGCATGGCTACTGGGCCACTGGTTATTGGGACTTGATAGCCCATGGAGCCATATCATGGCTGCTAGTCCCAAGTTGGCCTCTGCTTCCAGGCTTGGCTAGTTTTGATGGAACCACTCTAGTTCGTGAATCCATGTCCTTCCATTTTTATCACTAACTCCCCAAGCTATCAGTATTTCCGAGGCTGCTAATAAAACCTTCTTCCTGGTTGTGATGGCAGGCTCCCCTCCAGTGTAACCCCTTAAGTAGAAAACATGGAACATGGTATGTTTCAATATGCAATTCCTCTGTTATAAAAACAAAACAAAACAATGAAAACTTTGAAAGCAGTTTCTCCAGTATGATGAAACCCTCTATACAGTCTTCAGCCTCTTTGGCCTTTGCAGCT